TCAATAAAGTATTAGAATTGGTAAAATTAAGTTAGTTAGAAAATAATAGGTTAATTAAGTCATTGTTATTTTGTAAGAGAAATAATGTTATTATTACTATTGTTATTAGGTGACATTAGTAAGGAGTGGTCTGGTAGGATTATTACATCACATATACAATTGCTATGGACGATTACGGTATTACATGTACATGTATGTTTCAGCTTTCTTTGCTTAGGATTTGTGAATTGTTTAATATTATTGTTGATTTCCCTGATTCAGAATCAGCGCTGGTTGATTTGCGTGAGTGCTTGCGTCACGTTGATTTGAGAGAAGAGCTCATGGAATCATTAACTAAAGTGTTAGACTTAAATTTGCATGTAGCCAATCCATTTTCTCTTCTAATAAATTAAATAATTTTTACGAATGTGTTATTTTTATTGTTTAGTATCATTTGATCTATTTAAATTTTTAATAATAGCAATAATAATAATTATTATTTATGATTCTAATATTTTATTTTTCCCCCACCAGTTATGAGAGAAGAACCGCTTTGATCCAAACTGGTTTGTAGTGTAAACGGGGCTTAGGTTACTCTACCATGGTGCTAATACATCTGATATCATTACCCTGTACATCTCTTCAGTTCATAGTCTAAAGCTACTGGACCCAACTGGTGTTGTATTGGAAAGAGTATGTGAACCAGTCAAAGCATATCTGAGGTATTATTAAAATTAATTAACCAGTTTTAATAACTATTAATAACTATAGTCTAATCACTTTTAATAACTGTAGTTTTGATAACTTTTAATACCTTTTAATAATTACAGGACTCGAAGTGATACAGTGACATGATTATTGCCAGTTTGATTGATGATAGTAACAACGACCTTTCGGTGGTACATGTACATGTATGTGATAGTCACATGACTTGTGCTGTAGGAGCTGGTGAAAGGTGAGACTGTGTTGCTTGATCTTTTGGATGAGTATGATGATCCTGATCAGGACTTTGAGGCTTGGGAATCAGATCCAGTAGATGCCGACCCTAGTAAGAATATATTTATTATTATTATTATTATTATTATTATTATTGTGTTTGTATAGTGAAGTCTTCAAAAAGTCGGCAAATTTTAGATATAATGAGGTAAGAGGAAAAGGATATTAATGTTATGTATCATTTATAAATAGATGAAAAAAGCATGTACTGTGGTGTATGCTTTTTTCCAAAAACTGGCTTAAAAGTTGTCTCAAATTTTTGATACATATTGATGTCATTATGCTGTGTAGAAAGTTTGAGCTGATTCCGGCTTAAATTTTTAAAGTTAGGTCCATTTTAAAAAATTTGCCAAAATCTGAAAAATACCTAAGGCTATAGCCCATGTTTTTTCCTAAAAATGGCCAAAAAATTACCCCCCGATTTTTATTACATTTTCTGATACATATCAATGTCCTTATGCTATGTAGAAAGTTTGAGCTGATTCCGGCATAAATTTTTTAAGTTACGGCCATTTTAAAAAAATTGCCAAAATTTGAAAAATACTCAAGGCTATTATAAACCCATGTTTTTTCTGAAAAATGGCCAAAAAATTACACCCAACTTTTATTATATTTTCTTATACACATTGATGTCCTTATGCTATGTAGAAAGTTTGAGCCGATTCCAACTTAAATTTTTCAAGTTATGGCCATTAAAAAAATTTTGCCAAAATCTGAAAAATACCCAAGGCAGCCCATACTTTTTTTAAAATGGTCAAAAAGTAATTCCCAATTTTTATTACATTTTCTGATACATATTAATGCTCTTATCCTATGTAGAAAATTTGAGCCAATTCCGACTTAAATTTTTAAAGTTACGGCCATTTTAAGAAAATTGCCAAAATCTGAAAAATACCCTGTACTATAGCCCATGCTTTTTTCTGAAAAATGGCCAAAAAAACCACCCCCAATTTTTATTACATTTTCTGATACACATTGATGTCCTAATGCTGCGTAGCAAGTTTGAGCTGATTCTGATAACAGATTTCTGAATTATGAGCTTCACACAGTTACTGTACATGTATTTCTATTTTTAGCTTATTGGTTCACATCTATAGTGATCAGGATCTATTGGTGAATGAGTATTATTACTATCACTTGACTATGATGTTACAAGAGAAGTAATACCCCAATAATATTATCAATGCTCATAATAATTATCTCTCTTTTACTAGTTTCCTTTTTCTATTTC